TTGTTTTTTTTTTTTTTTTTTTGTCTTTTTTTAATTTTTAACGGGAGGCGACAAAAATTGGATAATCTAACTGCTGAGTCACCATCCTGCAGCCTGGGCCCACCGCATCCTCAAACGCCCATTAACCCGGGAAGAGACAAACTTAACCCCGGTTAGTTTGCTGACCCAAGCACGGTCCCCCTCGTTCTCCCATCTTTTATATAATCCCTATTCACTCCCTCTTTTCTGCTCATCCAATTTCAACCCCCAAATCAAACAAAATGATATCTGCCTTTTCTCCTCTTACTCTGCCGCCTCTTCCGGCCAGATTCTCTCCCCGGGAATTCACACATGTCAGATTCCGGCCACCGCAAGCCTTCTCCGCCACCGCTACCGCCTCATCTACCGCCTACGCCACCAGAGAGAACACCGCCTCACCCTATCTCAACCTTCAACGAATGCCCTCCTACACTTCGCTTTACGACGTCCTCGGACTCCCTACCGGAGCTTCTTTTCAGGAAATCAAATCGGCATATCGACGCCTTGCCAGAGTTTCACATCCGGATGTGGCGGCCGTCGACCGGAAAGACTCCTCTGCCAATGATTTCATGAAGATTCACGCCGCTTATTCCACTCTGTCCGATCCTGAAAAACGCGCCGATTACGATCGCAAGCTTCTCCGCCGGTGCCGGCCTGTAGCTTCGGTGCGGATGGCTTCTGGATTTACTGGTTACACTCGCCGGAATTGGGAGTCTGATCAGTGCTGGTAATGAGTTGACTCACTAACCGATCATAGTTCGTCATAATCGGAATCGGAATCGGAATCGGAATCAGTGCTGTGATTTGAACATATAACGAAATAATCGAAACGGCGCAAACGATTTGCGACTCACCGGAGCCGATTTTCTTAGAGAACTACAGGAAATCGTCAGGAAGACGATTCAGTTCTCCAAAATCGCCGAGTAAAATAGGAAACAGAGGAAACTGCTTATATCTTTTCCTAGTGTTCCTTTTGTTGTCTGTATTTTTCTTGGCTTTGTTCAGTTTTGATTTCAATGAAATAAAATGACCTGAAAATCCAAAACAAAAACCGCTGTTCAGTTCTTCGTGTTCATCACTTCCATCTAATTAATGGAAAAAAATCTCAAATTAATGGAAATTTTGAAAAAGAAGAATAAATTAATCAAATTAATGTTTCAAAACAGGAATCTTCCAGTTATGGTTTTGGGAACAAAACCATTGAACCGACAAATTATCAGACAGGACACAGTAGCCGGTAGCCGGTGGCCGGTGCGACAGTGATATTATTAAGACAATTGACCTCAAAAGTCAGCTTTAAAAAGGATAAGCTTTTAGGTTTTTAGCTAAGCCCAATGTTGGAGTTCTAGAAGCTATAAATCACAAAGAGTTCGTTAATTCTCCAGGATGGAACCCTATGGGAGTGGGCCCCACTCCCCTCCTGTTCAGATAACAAGCTTCTAGAAGAAATCAGCTTCACTAATCACTGACACGACAAACGAGGACCAGAGGCCTTACCTTCTCATCCTTCTTCTAGAACACCGGTACCCTGTTCTACAAATTCTTGTCGAATATATAAAATCAACCCTTTTTTATTATTAAAAAAATGGATTTCTAAAATTCAAATACGATTTTTTTTGTTCAATAAATAATAATAATAATAAATAATAAAATAACAATTTTTAAAAATAGTTTATTTTTTTCCAGATGGTCCACAACTATTGCTTGGCCCATACCCATCTTATTCATGACGTGACGAAGGGGCAACTAATTCCAGTCGGCTCATTTGGGTCTACAACTCGTGGTTGACTTTATTGCTTCATTCCTATATTAAAATAATATTTATATAAAATAAAATTATAAAGTGAACAATGGGCCGTAGAATTTCATAAATCAGGCCCATGAAATAAGTGGGCTCAAAAGAAAAAAACGAGCCCAACAAATGTAAATAATTTATTATTATTATTATTATTCAATAATTAATTGCGATTAAATAAATGATAAACAAGGATAGGACTGCGAAAATGTCGGGTCGGTGATTAGCATCAGAATCCAATCAGCTACGCAATTCTCGGGCAGCTTTGTCCCCCTTTTGCTAGCTTGCATTCCTACCAACCGCCCCTTTACATGTGGCAGTTGGGATTATTTATTTATTTTCATTTTAATATAATTATAATTGTTTTTTCGTGGTTTGATTTTCGAAAAAATATATAAAATATATAAACTTATAGGTGAAAATATTATTTATAAATTTATTTTTTTAAAAACATAACAACATAAATAAATAAACAAAATAAGAAAATAAACTATTTTTTGGAGTTGGACTGATATTGGATTGTGATATTGGGCCTTGGACGGACTGACGAACCGCAGCCCAATTACAATATCTGGGCCTGAGATTGTCATCGTGGCCCATTAACAGTGCTCAAAGTTCCAGCAATGTGCACGTGTGCACGTGCGCACGTGGAGGCTTTCGCTAAACGAATTAAAAACAAAGCAACGGTGGGCCCCAGGACTGTAGTTTGGTAGACAAGAATGCTTCTTCTTCGGTGCCAGATGCTGACGTCATAATTAAAAAATTGTAACGACCAATACCAAAGTAATTGTTGATGGCTATGGCTTTACGTTTGAAACTTTGATTCTCTCCAATCCCATGGGATCGATTAATTTCTTTTTTCTAAAACCACTTAGCATTTTAAAACGGTACTTTTAATAGCTATTAGCAGCAAAAATCTTAGATTTGTATTAAATAACAAATTGTTTTATTCTATTTTAAAACTCAATAATAATAAAAAGAAAGAATAATTAGAATTTTTTTTTTTTTTTTAAACAAATTAGCAATAATGGCACAACTATCCAACCACGTCATGGTCATCTTTATCTTTGTCGAAATCATGTTGTTGGTATCAATGACAATTGTTTATATTTTCATTAAATGTTTATTTTCATATATTTATTTATTATTTTTTTTTTTTGACATATGACTCGTTCTCAATTATGATATTAAAATCAGTTTGTGTGACAAAATGTGAAATCTCATATCAATTTAATAGGAGCACGAAATATTCCTTATAAAGGTATAGAAACTTTCTCTATAGTAGACACGTTTTAAAATCGTGAGGTTCATGTTTATATGTAATGGGTGAAAGCGAACATTATCTACTAGCAATGAGCTTAGGCTATTATTATTGGCATTAGAGTTTGTCATCGGTCGATGTAAGACAGTGGTTGGAGTAGGGCTAGACACTCTCTATAGTAGACACGTTTTAAAACTATGAGATTGATGACGATATATAATAGGTAAAAGCAAATAATATCTGCTAGTGGTGAACAATAGACCATTTGTACGATGTATTTGAATTAATTGACTTACTTGAAGGTGAGAGTAATTAGTATATGATCGTATTGTGAATCTTGAAAGAGTATAATTGTGAAGTTGACTCAGTTTTAATTTTAATATATAAGAGTAAAAACTATAAATAATTGATTAATAAGCCTAGTACAAATAACTCAATTGAAAAACACAATTTGATTTAAAATATAAATCTTCTCCATCTTAGGTTTTAAAAAAAGCTCAACCACTATTATTTTTAAATTGAAAGTAAACTTACTATGCATTGCTTCTCAATTGCATGTTAAAATAATATGCCTCTAAATTTTATATATAATATATTTTTTCGTCACAATCGATAAAAAATTAACGTATTTATCAAACATAAAATTTAAATTCGTATATATTACATAATTTTAAAAAAATAATAAAAAACGTATATATTACATAATTTTAAAAAAATAATAAAAAACTAATTTGTTTACAACATTTGAATGGTACTTATCCAACAAAAAAAATAAATAATTAAATTGACAAATTTTAAATTTCAGAATCTATTATTTAAAAAGTTAAATTTGATCTAAAATAAATTATTTAGTGAAAAAAAGAACTTATTAAAAGCAAGTTTTCGAAATTTACCGTTGTTTGTTACAGTAAATTCCCACCAAACATGAATGGCAAAGACTTCCAAAGAGAGATAGTCAACGAAGATAAGTATGAAAAGAGCATGAGTTGAATTAGAAAATTGAACCCAAAATGTTTCCAAAAGAGAAAAAATAAACCCAAAAAGGTAATTTTAAGCAAGTAAAGGAGGCGAGACGCGACGCTGCGGTGCCACCTGGTAGGAACATTGGGCGGATTTTTCGAGCCAAAACCCAAGAAGCTAGCGGCGATGGCTCGGCAGCCCTGGGACCCATAAGCCCCCGTTGGCTTCTAAAAGACGACACCAGTTTCTGTTAACTCCAATTATTTTGCCTTTTTGCTTTGGCTTCTTTCTCTTCATTTTCTTTGTCCCAAAAAAAAAAAAAAAAAAGAAGAAAGGAGAAGAGAGAGAATAGGTCCAAGTATTAATGTCTCTGAAGGAGGAGGAGAAGGAAGAAAACCGCGTTTGACCTGTTCTCAAATTCTTCCACCATGACGGCCTCTACCATCGCCTGCCCTAGCCACCCTGTTCTTCTTTCTTTACTTCTCGCTGCCATTGCGTCAAACTAGTTCTTCTCAATCTTCTACGCTGTTTTTCTTCCTTTTTGATTTCGAGTTTCAGTTTTGATTACCTATCTGTTTCTGTTTTCTTTTCGATCTGATTTCTTGAGTGATTTGATTGTTTGAGGGGTTTTTGTTCTGATTTCATGGCGGAGATCAAGCTGATCTTGGCTCGGCCGATTCAATTGGCCGACCAAGTTACCAAAGCGGCCGATGAGGCTACTAACTTCAAGCAGGAGTGTGCTGATCTTAAGGCCAAGACGGAGAAGCTTGCTACTCTTCTCCGTCAGGCGGCTCGAGCGAGTTCCGATCTCTATGAGCGACCGGCTACTCGGATCATTAACGAGACTGCACAAGCCCTAGATAAAGCTCTGGCACTGGTGCTTAAATGTAGCGGGAATGGTCTTATGAAGCGAGTTTTCACAATCATTCCTGCCGCTGCCTTTCGTAAATCTTGCTCACAGCTTGATAATTCCATCGGTGATGTCTCGTGGTTGCTCCGAGTTTCCGCCTCTGCTGAGGATCGTGGCGATGAGTATTTAGGTCTTCCCCCTATCGCTGCTAACGAACCGATTTTAGGTCTCATATGGGAACAGATTGCTATTCTTTCTACTGGCTCGCCGGAAGATCGATCCGACGCGGCGGCGTCGCTGGTTTCTTTGGCGAAAGATAGCGAGAGATATGGGAAACGGATAATTGAAGAGGGCGGCGTTGGGGCGCTGCTGAAATTGCTGAAAGATGGTAGGGTTGAAGGTCAAGAAAACGCTGCAAATGCAATTGGGCTTTTAGGTCGTGACCCTGAGAATGTTGAGGCCATGATTCAGGCTGGTGTCTGTCAGGTGTTTGCGAAAATTCTCAAAGAAGGTCCGATGAAAGTTCAGGCTGTGGTTGCTTGGGCTTTATCGGAACTCGTTTCGAGTTACCCAAAGTGCCAAGATCTTTTCGAACAGCACTACATAATCCGCTCCCTTGTTAGCCATCTTGCGTTTGAAACTGTTCAGGAACATAGCAAGTACAATATCACTGCCAATAAATCCATCTCGATTCATGCTGTGGTAATGGCGAGCAACCCCAAAACGAATAACAATGTGCATAAAGCTGTGGAAGATGATGATCGGCAGCTCCATAGCAAGATTCTTCATCCGATGGGTAATCGAACCCCAAATCAGATGCACGCGGTGGTTACCAACTCTATGAACATGCTCTCTGGTGGGTCGGCGGCGGCTACAACTGCTGCTCCACAGGCCAGCCATGGCGAAGGCCACAGCCTTAGCAGCAATGGAAAGCATATTCTTCACCATTCCCCTTACCTTCATCATGCTCATTCCGGTCCCAGCACGAAGGGGAGGGAACTCGAGGACCCGGCCACAAAAACCAAGATGAAAGCGATGGCAGCTAGAGCCATTTGGCAGCTTGCTAAAGGGAACTTGACAATCTGCCGTAGCATTACAGAATCAAGGGCTCTGTTGTGTTTTGCCGTTCTACTTGAGAAAGGGGAAAAGAATGTGCAGCATAACTCTGCAATGGCATTGATGGAGATCACAGCCATGGCAGAGCACGATCCTGATTTGAGAAGATCAGCTTTCAAGCCGACTTCCCCTGCTTGCAGAGCTGTTGTGGAACAGTTGCTGAAGATCATTGAAAGAGAAGATGAAAATCTCCTCATTCCTTGTATCAAATCCATTGGACATTTGGCAAGAACGTTTCGAGCGACCGAGAAGCGAATGATCAGCCCATTAGTGCAGCTTCTCGACGAGAGAGAGACCGAGGTCTTGAAGGAGGCCTGCATTGCTCTCACCAAATTTGCCTGCACTGAAAACTTCCTCCACATTAACCACTGCGAGGAAATCATAGCTGCAGGAGGAGCAAAACACTTAGTCCAGCTAGTGTACTTTGGGGAGCAAAGTGTTCAAACTGCAGCTGTAACTCTATTGTGCTACATTGCCCTGCATTTGCCTGATAGAGAGGAGCTTGCACGGGCCGAGGCGCTTCCTGTGATCGAATGGGCGTCAAAACAATCACATTTGACGCAGGACGAATCACTCGAAAGACTCTTACATGAGGCCGGAAGTAAGCTAGAGCTGTTTCAATCCAGAGGTCCAAGAGGGTATCATTGATTTCAATCAATACACAGGCAAGATTCTCATCTCTTTTACAAGTTGAAATTATTTCAATTTTTATCTTCTTTACTTATACCCATCATCATTTTGCTTCAAGTAGTGTACGTATAGATTCATTTTTCATCCACAATTGTTCAAAAAGTATGTAATAATTTAGTGAAAGTTGTTTGCTTCCTTCTGTGTATCCTTCATCTACCTGACATGGAGAACAGTTTTCAGGCTCCTACATATTTGTTTTCAAAGATCATATACCTTTTTGTCTCGTTTCTTTTTCTTCTTGTTAGTGCATAGAACTAAGACTGCATCCTTGGAATTGCTTGATTATGATTACATTTTCATAAAGGATAGTGCTTAACTATTGAGGAAAACTGGAGCCCAAAAATTGCATAGAAACCCCACCCCACCCAATAATAAATTTTGAAGACAAAGACCAAGAAACAAGTCATGTGAGATTATTTGATACCAAATTTGGCTTAAGACACTATGGTCCCTTCACATTTCACTATGTTTTTGTGTTTTTTATTCTGTACTTCCGAGTTCTCGAAAGGGCATTTAAGGAAATTTTTGTCCTTAAAACCAGAATACTTCATTCGACCCTTCAAGGTGAGGACGAGGAAGAGGAAGAGCTCAAATTCGAGCACAGATACAAGAAGAAAATCATTAGAACTTTCTCGTCTCCTCCATTGTGTTGTCCTTTAGTTCTACTTTGGTCAACTATAAATTTAAATGGTCAAGTTGGTTAAAATGTTTAATTCAACCTCCAAATATATTTGATTTCTTGTTTCATTGGGTTGGAACCCCTCAAATTGGCCCATTTAGTACAGCAGTTAGATAATGGGCCTCAGGTCTAACAAACGCAGGCCCGATAAACGGCTATTAACTGGGCCTCCTTCAGTTTAAGCCCAAGTACTCGATTTGAGTCTAGGCCCAGTCAATTCTTATCGTGGTGGTTTCGTAATACCAAGGGCTTTTGTATTGTGACGTGGAAGTTACAACGACATGTCGTAATGGCCAGCCAATTTGATCATTTTTATCACGCCGATTATCTTCTACATGTCGTCACTGGGACCAGATAAGAAGTTAGGCTGCTGAAGCAAACCAACAAGTTGACCAAGTGGGTTAATTGTTCAATTGGATCATATAATTTCCACAATTTTTAAATGGGTTTCGTATTAATACATCGAATTCACCAATTTGCAGACACTTATTTATTTATTATTATTTCTTTTTTTTTTTATATAAAAGCTGGAATTTAAGTTCACATCGACTCTTCCGCTAAAGGACAATTTGTTCCCTTATGAGGCCCAGGCCCATAATCAGGCCCATATTGTTTCTCAGTATGGGCTCATGGGCCTCCTAGAAGCGATAGAATCCAAATGGAAGAGACAGGCATATATAGTGCACGTGGTAGCCTCTTCTTCTTGTTTGGTTTCAGAGTTTAACTACCTACGCTGCACGTGACACCCAATCTCTTGTATATTTGTAAATAATTCCATAAATAACTAAATTATTTAAACCTAATTCTGATTAACCCCTAAATTTTACATTGATGAGTCATTTTAGTGCTAATCTGATTTTTAAAACAAAAAAAATTAATATTAAAATATTCATTGTGTTGTCAATTTATGGATCTCCGCCATTGTTTTAAACTGAGAGAAATCAGAGAGAAATCAGTGAGCTTCTTCGCATGGCTTCCTTTTCCATTAAACCTCTCTTCTTTTCATTCCCTTTCTTCTTCCTTTTCCTTTCCTTTACTCACTCTGCAACCATCACTCTCCAAAACAACTGCACTCACACAATCTGGCCCGGCATTTTATCCGGCGCCGGAACCGCCCCTCTCTCCACCACCGGTTTCCCCCTCCTCCCCGGCGCTACTTCTCTCCTCTCTCTCCCCACCGCCTGGTCCGGCCGCATTTGGGCCCGCACTTTCTGCTCCACCGATTCCTCCGGCCGCTTCTCCTGCGCCACTGCCGACTGCGGCTCTGGCCTTGTCGAATGCAACGGCGCCTGCGCCGCCCCACCCGCCACTCTCGCTGAATTCACCCTCAACGGCGGTGGTGGCTTCGATTTCTACGACGTCAGCCTCGTCGACGGCTACAACATTGCGATGCAAATCGTACCGGAGGGTGGAAAGTCAGGAAACTGTACGGCCACCGGTTGTATTGCGGATTTAAACGGGGATTGCCCAGAGGAGCTGCAGGTAGTGATGGGCGGCGGAGAGGATGGTCGGAACCGGAGCGTGGCGTGCAAAAGCGCGTGTGTAGCGTTCGGGAAAGCGGAATATTGCTGCAGTGGGGCGTTTGCAAATCCTAACACGTGTAAACCGAGTAATTACTCGAAATTCTTTAAGAACAATTGCCCATTGGCTTACAGTTACGCCTTCGACGACGGAACCAGCACCTTCACCTGTATGTCGGCCAATTATGTCGTCACTTTTTGCCCCTCGCCGTTGGCCAGGTCCGCCCAATTTACTTATTCCAAATAAAATATTTAAATTTATAATAATCTCTCATCTCATATATTAAAAATTTTAAAATATATTCTATAGTCATATATAATATAAATACTATATAATAAATAGAGGTCATAAATGAATTAACATTATACGATATGGTTTTTTAAAATATTATTAGCAAGAAAAATGATAGAGATTAATAATATTTTTAGTTTAATGACAAAGATGATGGAGATTAATAATGTATAAAAATGGAGAAGAACATATTATAATATTATTTATTACTAAACCTAAGAAATGTTACAAATGTATTCAAATTATATTAATGACATCGAATATTTTAATTAAAATAAAAAAATTATTTCATTTTTGTTTTTTTTGTCTCAGTTTCAAGGCTTCTAGCAAACCACAACCGCAAGCGGCGGACGTTTCAGGCAGCCGACGTCGTGCTGCACAGCCGTGTTTAGCTATTCTCACCGCAGTTTGGGTGGCCGTTTGGCGGCTGCGGCATCGGAATAATCTCTAATCCTTTACGTAATTTTCAATGGGATTTTATTTTTTAAAATTCTTAATTATATTTTAATACGATAAAATTAAGAATTATAAAAGATTAAAATGGCCAATGATAATTAAGTAAATGAATTAGAGATTATTTAATTTATTTTGCCATTTTAAATTAATTTAATTTCAACGCTCACGCTTGCTCTTTTGGAATGGTTTAGAGGTTACCAAGTGGGCCCAGCCCAATTACTTTTGGGCCACATGCTGACATAATTTGGGCGGCTGCAACTTGTACTGTGGCCCATTTGTTTTGGATTGCTTAGTCAGCTCTCAGCTACTTCTGTTTCTGTATGTTTTTTATTATTAAATTTAGCACATGAACGACATGTCGGATGTGACACAAATTATTTGTATATCATGCTTCCAAATGCAAATATAGTTTAATTTGTTTCATTCTTTTTTTTTTTTTTAATTTCTCTCATTTAAATAATAATTAACCTATTTCATTATAAGAAACAGTATTTTAATAAATAAATTATTGTTTTATAATTTATTATTTAAAAGATGAGATTAGGAGTTTTTTATTGATTAATTAAATGTTGTTATTTTATTTGGACAAAAATCTTGTGGCTATTGTTGGCCTGCATTTTTTATTGCGTGCAGCTTGCGCTTATTTGCCTTCTCAAACTTTATTAAGCTAATTAATGTGTTTTAACATTTTAATTTAATTTATTCATTAAAAAAACAACCTTTTCGAGACAGTTTCATGCTATATGTCCTGACCTACTAGCTCTGAGTTGCATTCCCGACACAAACGCTATATCTACTAAAGATAAATTTACATCATATAATAATTTAAAATTTTGAAGAAATGAGGGTAGCAATCTTTCAAAAATTAATTATTTTAAGATTTATTATTATTATTATTATTATTATTATTATTGTAATAAAGGATTTGTAATTTTTAATTTTCTTTAAAAATTATAGTAATTTATAATATTTGAGTCATAAAAAGAAGGCATCAGCTAAAAGTAAAGTAAACAATAAAAAATAAAAAGTAAACAAATTTTTTTAATTGTCATAAAATTTTCAACTTTTATATCATATGACAATGGAATGTAAAAAAAAAAAAATATTTAATTTGATATTTTTAGATTTGATAAAATATGTAATGAAATTGTAAATTGTAATATTTCCAAAAAAAATATATAATTAAATTGGTTAGTGCTTGCTCATTAAAATGATTTAATTAAAGTTTGGCAGCTTTCTTTTTTAAATTTATTTTATAACCACGTAAGCATGAGATTTATTCAATTTATTTTTAATTTATTGTAAATTTTTAAAAAATCATTATTTAAGTTATTTTTTAAAACAGATTTAGATCTAGTTTTGTTACGTCAATTATATGATTGCAATAATTAAAATTATTTAATAGTAGAGTAAATCATTCCGGTATAATTTAATAGTAGAGTAAATGAATAGAATAGTTAATTATTTTAACTGTTGGATGAAAGTCTCATGCTAATTTACGGAAGGATGGTTTATAATCAATAAATAGTATTGTATGAGGTATGTTGAGGAATCGGAAAGCAAAGCCATGAGAGCTTATGCTCAAACTGGACAATATCATACCTTTGTGGATATGGCACTGCACCAAGAACATAAAGTGTTCGTACAGTTTTTATGTTTGGTTCTATAGTTACCTCAAGAATAACAAAGTTAGGTGGAAAGTCATGTGAAAATTTTAAATCTTAATTAAGATCCATATTGTTATGTGGAAGATTTTTACAAAAAGAGTTTTGTGGTCATTTCGGACCTGTGTTATGTGGAGGTGATAGAGATACTATAGAACATTCGGTCTTCTATTGCAAGATCCGGATGCAAATTGGGAAGTCATTCCTCCCTACAATCCGAAACATAAGTGTTCTTAATCTTCCTCTCTAGTATGTGTTCGTAAAGCTTCGAACTCTATCAATTTCGAAGATGGATCAATTGACTATGAAAAACGAATTTCAACAATAGATCTTAAGAATTATGGGACATAAGTTATTACCTCAAGGTACATAGGGATGTTGAGTTATCCACTAGAGCCAACAAGCGGTGACCGAATTCGAGTACTTCAATAGAACAACATATTGATCGATGGTTGTCCCTAATAGAAATAGCTCTAAAATACAATGTTAACGCCTCGTGCAATCTCACGTGCAACTATACGAGCTTGGACTAATCCAAATGGACGAGCTTTGTCAAATGTAAATAGTTTTTATAGGGACGATCTCAACCTGCACTTATAAGTGAACATGATTGGTCGGTGAGTGAGAGAGATGTCGGTGACGGGGCATTAAGGATTTCCCTTTAAACGGTCACGTTTTCATTTATAAGTAACAGAGCATCGCCATGCTAAGGTTCTCTCACCACTCTCTCCATCTACTTTCTTTCCCATTTTATTCCATTTTTCTCTCTCATTATCAGAATTGTTAAAACCAATAGTTTATTTGCAGCGATCTCCACTTTCTTCTCCAGTATTCTTTCTCTCTCATACCCATTTCTCACTCCAAAAAAATCCCCTGTTTCCGCCATTGTTGTCTTCCACCATTTTTCTTCCATCTCCTTGCTCCAAACATCGCATATTTTGAATCCCACTTCAATTAATTCATATTAAACCATACCCATTTTTTCAATTCCATTACATCAACCAATTTTTTTTGGTAAAACAGAGCATTTCAATGGAGCTGGTCTGCCATTTCCGACATTCTTGTCTCTTCTTGTCGAGCCTGGTTTTGCTTCTTCTTTTCAAAGGTAATTTGAGTTTTATGTTTTGTTTTTTCAATTTGAATTATGGGTAATCGCTTGTTTTTGATAATTTTAAGAATCTTGACGAAATCTGTGGCAGAATTGGTTCAATCTGATTGCTCTGTTTTTTGATGTTCTTGCTATGTTTTACAGAGGTTTCTTGTGCTACATTTATGTTCGTTAACAAGTGCGATTTCACTGTCTGGCCGGGAATTCTCGCCAGCGCCGGCAGCCCCAAATTGGAAACCACGGGTTTCGAGCTGAAAGAAGGAAATTCTCGCTCTTTAGAAGCTCCGACAGGATGGTCCGGTCGGTTTTGGGGCCGTACCGGCTGCGATTTTGACGGCTCCGGCCGTGGCAGCTGCAACACTGGCGACTGCGGCTCTGGTGAGATGGAGTGCAACGGCGCAGGTGCCACGCCGCCGGCCACCTTAGCTGAATTCACTCTCGGCTCCGGCTCTCAGGATTTTTACGACGTCAGCCTGGTTGATGGCTATAATTTGCCGATGATCGTCGAGGGAACTGGCGGGTCAGGCACGTGTGCGACGACCGGCTGCATTACAAACGTGAACCAGCTCTGCCCAGTGGAATTGAAGGCAGAAGGCGGCGGCGCGTGCAAAAGCGCTTGTGAGGCATTTGCCACGCCGGAATACTGTTGCAGCGGCGCGTATAACTCCCCAGCGACTTGCCGACCGTCAATATACTCACTAATGTTCAAATCCGCGTGCCCCAGATCATACAGTTACGCCTATGACGATGCCACGAGCACATTCACTTGTAGAGGAGCTGATTACACCATCACATTTTGCCCTTCTACTCCAAGGTAATAAATTATAAAAGAAAAAAAAGACCAAATTTAATTTTGAAAATTAACTTTTATTTTAAATGTCAGTCGAAAATCTTCGAGAGATTCGCCACCGATGGTACCAGAACCGACAACAGAGCAATCTGGGTCAGAACCAATAACTGGGTCGGGATTGGAATCGGGATCGGACTCGATACAAGGAGCAGCTTTGAGTAATTCTTGGCTTGCAGATATGGCAATAGGGAATTCCTCCATGACTACGAAATCAAGCTTGACATTTCAATCTTTGACAATTTTGATATCGATTTTATTGCTCGTTCTCTCGAGATGAAGGGATAAGAAAGGGGATTAATTGAACCATTTAGATGAATAATGTAGGATACTTTATTATATTAATTTGTGTGAAAAAATTGAAGGCAAAAAGATGATGCCTTTTCATATACAGATGGAGTAATAAAGAAATCAATAAATAGGCACTTTGATTTGGCTTTATGGTTTGTTGAATTTGGATGATTCCAAAGCTTGAAAGGTAATTTATAAGTGGGAATTTGGAATAACATACCCACAAAGTCAACACCTTTATGACAAAAAGCATATGTTTTTTTTTTTTTTTTGTATTCGTAAGTTTGGAATGGGTTAAAATGATCTACGTCCAAAGCTTTTAAAACCTATACTCGAGTCTCCTAATTTAAGAACTCATAACTCGAAGTTTCGAAAGTTTGTAAACAAAAAAGGGAAGATTTTGCTTAGTTTTATGCATGAGACGAGCACATGGAGAACAACATAGGGCGGTGGTAAGGGCAAATGGTGTTGATAGGACATCAAAAAAGAAAGATTCTTCTCACTTTGGTATCTCTACTTTATACCTCAAAAACCTATACTTAATGCCCTTAACACTTATTTTTTCCCCTTTTCAACTTACATTAAAATTAATTTAATGCGTATTTGTTATAATAAACAAATGTTAAGTGACTTTTAAGTTAAGAACATGTTGACGGGTTATTCTCAAAATTTGTATAGTTGATAAAAGTAAACTCGTTTTTTCTAACAGTAAGTTGTATGTACACGAACTCTCTTAATTATTTGATCAATGGATTACATAAATAACGAGAATTTGACGGGTTTTGTCGGTGGGAAGACGGAGAGGGAAGGATTGTTGAACAAGTTGGTGGGAGGAAGGAGAGGAAAAAGCATAAAAATAAAAGCAAAGATAGAAATGTTCCTTTTCTTTCTCAATGGGGAGTGGAACATTATATCTATGCCTCTTCTAAATTTGTTTCTACTGCTAACTCACAAAGGGCCTTTTTTTTTTCCAACTCTAAACCAATGGAACATGTTCTTCCTTTTCATCACTCATAATCAATTACGTTTTTTTTTTTGGAGCATATTTACTTTTGTATGTTGAATATTATTCATCAATTTCATTCCATTAATATTTGAAATTTTGGATCTCAAGCTTTTATTTTATTTTATTTTTATAATCATGGTTGATATATATATTAGTGAATGTATTTAATTATTCCAATTAGTGGTGTTGAAAAGATTTGGATGGGTAGATTCAATATTTTGAAAATAAATAGATGTTTTATATATTAACATTTTACTTCTATTAAAATTAAAATTTTAAATAAATGATACACACGATTCCTAATATTGTTTTACCATCCATACAATTGAGATGGATTTTAAAATGGTCTCACTCGACCGAACGTAACCCAACTTTACTCAATCTATGAACCCTAATTCCAACTAGTTCAATACACTTACTCATGGGCATGCAAAAAAACCATGGTATAGTTAATAGTGAATTCTCCAAGGGGATTCAATCCCTCGTTAATTCCCACCTTATCATCATCCCATGTCCTAATCCAAACGGCCCAAGGAATGGACAAGACAACCTTCGAGGACAACTCCTTCGGTTGTAGGACCAGGAACTGAAAGGCAGCCATCTGAGACACCCACCCTCCACCAATTTGGGTTGAAATGTTCCATCCCAACACCTTACTCAAGTACAATAATAGAGCCATAAATGTCAAAACAGCATCAAATGGCCGTAGCTAACAAACAGTTGAAGATGTGTTCCACCAGGAATGGCGACCACCGGTGACTGTAAGCAACAAAGCTGTATGAAAAGCCAGCTACCGTAATTAACAGCAGTGGCCCCATAGCACGTTGAGTATTGGATCTTTGATCCAGAAAGGAACTACGGCACCGGCTAAAGAAACCATCATATAGATTGGTAGGTGCCAAGATCCGACTACTAGGTGTGACCAGAGAACCCAAAAGAATTATAAAGAGCCATGGTTTTTGGAACAACTCCATGGGTACCTGCTGAAAGCAAAGACTATGTGGCCATGTGCTGAGAATGGCGGACAAGAGACACCTAAAGGCCATCCCAAGCTGCTTATAAGCACCTAACACCCGAGAAAGTAATACCCTAAGGACTTACCCAAGTTTACCATGAAGTTCAAAGATTGAAGCTATACTGATTTTCTATAATAAAATTTAACAAACATGTGCATAAAGGGATGCTAAGAATTGAAAGAAGGGCTACTTGGGAACCACATAGCATGCATATTAAAACGGTCCGAAGTTAATCACAATTACATACCAGAGCCTAATCGCACTTGATAACAGACATGCAATAATCTCAACTAAAAAGATATAATAAGTTTGATTCTCTTACAGAAACGGGAGGGCCTCCTGTTGCCATTGTTCTTCATTGCCATCTTCCTTTTGACAGAACAGAAGACCTTTGTTTACTCTAATGCATGGAAACTACCAAATATGATAGCAATTCAATAAATCAAATTGGGAAGATGAAAAGATTACTTCTTGGTGACTAAATGATTCGCGGAGGTGGAAATGTAATGGGCAATAAGAATTCAGAGAGTAATTCTGACGAATAATGGATAGCAATCATCCTTTTCATATCCAGGCCAGGAGTCATCACCATTAGAGAATTTCTCGTGTCGTTTCCAAACTTCAGCATCATACTCCTCTATCACACTGAAATGCAAACCATTGGCTTTGACTTCCTCTAGAAACTTCACGAGTGAGTCACCTCTTCTGGGGCTAATAAATATAGCTTCTGATGACTCTACTTTTTTCAACAAGGACATGACCATTCTAGCAAGTCCTCTATGGTAATCTTTAAAAAAAGTGCTGTTTCAAAAGTATAAACAAAAAATTAACGTAAATAATCATGGCACTGAAAGAAGACAAAAGGATGAGAATAACATTTATTTTGCTTCATAAGTTTAAGGGGTAGAATTTTTTTATCCATATATAGGAATAAATTATAAGAAAATACATAGTAAAGAAGATAAACATGCATCTCGCATTATGTACTTGTTTTTCTAAGATTGCATTGAGGAACGTTTGATGGATACGGTATTTATTGAGATTGAAAGGACTTAAACTTACCAGTCACTGGCAATAATGAGATCAAAACTGCCGGAAATATTTGAAACCTCTTCCTGATTCCAATGCAATGTCAAAGAATCTACTCTGGTGCCACCAAATGCTTTAGAGTTAATTGCTATATTGTGCTGAATATCTAGGTGCTAAAGAAGGAATCATCAAATCCAAAGGAAAGGTGCTAATGCTTTACTAAGTAACTTATGATCACAGACAAGATAATAGATTTATCACAGCTGACCATAAACCACTAGAATATGATAGAATTATTGAGGATACATTCAACTACTTGAGGATTTCCATCTGTGATAACAACTTCTGATGCTTCTGTACTTGCAGCAACAACTAATCCAGCCAAGCCATAGCCAGATCCAAGCTCAATAACTCTCTTACATCTGTAAAATTGGATTCAAAAGGGTACCCCAGAAGACATTTTAAAATATGGCTGTACTTGGAACAGTGATTTAAAAGATTAACCCTTACAACCCAGAGGCCTGTGTCTGGAATCAAACGGGCAGAGAACATAGACCACATCTTAAGCTTCAAAACTGAAAAAGTTTGCTAGAAGGGGCTGAGCAACATTGTTGAACTAACCTAAATAGGTCCGAATGCAACAAACAGAAGTAAGCAAGAACATCTTCTGATGGCCAATGACCTGTGAAGGAAAATTTACTCATCAAAATAGATGTATAACTAAACTTAGAATACATTAAATAAACAAGAAGAACAAGTGCCATTTCAACAGTATAATCAGAGATAAGACACTGAAACTCATCAATGTGTGCGTGAGAAGGAAATCACTAAGGGTGTCGATATCAAAGTGGACGTATCATTCGGGTAAAGACGACAACAACGATTAAAATAGATTTATAAATATTTAGAAATCAAAACATAACATCTCAAACTATGAGCAAAAGAGGTGTCAAGATTAGAGAACAAAGTACAATTTGAACTTGAGATAAATTTTGAACATTCCGGTTTAACTCAGTTCATCAATTTACAGAATCACCAACGTCATTTTCTTGTCCTCCGATGAATCATATTTCTCTAAAGGCCGACAACCAAGAAATTGACATGTATTCCTCTACAGTAACATTTAATGAACTAGAACAAACTAAAACAAAACATTTTCTTAGCAGAGAGAGAACTAACAAACAAGCCCGGTGTTGTCAATGTCATATTTATTACAGATCTTGAAGTCATCAAGGTCAGCAACGTCGTCCATTCTTTGCCTGTATAAACATTCCACGTCCAGAAACAATTATGTACAGTGTGCTTGGAACTAAACAAAAGGACAACCATGAATTATGACTTAGGGAACTGACTTGAGGAAAAGTTTGGGAGCTCCATCGATAGGCAATGTGTAGCACACGCGACGATCGCGACGCGAGACAGAAAAACCGTCCGTGCCTTCGTCTCCAATATCATCCGTGATAAACGAGGGAATCAAATTGAAGCCGTTCGTAGTCCTCCTAGAAATACGCTTCGCATCCATTTCAGACTGATCATCTGTCGAAACATCGAAAAGCAGAATGGCAAGTAATTGTCTGTAAACAGTGATTAAACAGTGAGTGAAGAAACTTCACGATACCATTGCAGGAGGAAGATCGAGGAATAAGCGCTTGACGGAGAATTTTCCATCTCAGAGATGAAGCCTTGGTGATCGGCTTGTTGCAATCCATCCTTCGCATCTCATCGACCGCCACCGCACTGCGACTGAACTGATAAACTTCGGGCGTCTCCAATGGACTTAAGATCCGACGGTTGAGAACGAAACGACGTGTTAAGATTCACTTCACTCGGGGCCGACTCAAATTCTGGTCCGGCTCAGACACGGTCCAATCTGAACCGTGGCAAATCAAGGGTTCCATTTCTGAGAAGAAAATTATAAACCATTTTGTTAGAGATGTCCTACGTGCCGCCTTGTCTTTGGCCAGAGATAACAAATATACTATACTGCGAAGCACTAGATTACATCCTCTTTGGTTTAGGCAACAAGCAAGGTTTGCGGCAAAGATCGAAGTGTTCGTGTAGCGCGCCAGCTTTGTCTTCCATAGTTCTACCCCTTCTGGTTCTGCAACCATGGTGCTCGAGGTAAATTTCATCTTGTAGTTTCTGTTTTACTTTCTCAAATGTTCAATTTTCTCATAGTTCGAGATTGATTGAATTTGCTGAATTCGAGGATTTCATGGTTTTCCTGCTATTGTTTTCGCAAGCTAGGGTTTACTAAATTCTGACTATCTTTCTCTCGATTGAGTCAGGCGACGATGATATGTATTGACAACTCCGAATGGATGCGGAATGGCGATTACGCTCCTTCGAGATTTCAAGCTCAAGCAGATGCCATCAATCTTATTTGTGGAGCCAAGACGCAGGTAACTAATCTTGAACCCGTATTCTGATTTCCTCTAGCTGGTTTAGATGTGGAAATCTGTAAAAATGTAGGATACACTTCATTATCAGTTATATTGCTTAATTGGGATTCTGCTTTATTTCTTCATTTTATGAGAAAACAAATCCTGACAATTGCTTTGTTGTTAAAAGTTTCGTTAGAAGGAATGAGTAGGAGGTTTATAATGTTGTATTTGGAATTTGCTTCTAACGACGACTAGTCCCTATCGGTGTTTGCCTGGATTGTTATTCTGAGTTGTGAATGAACATTTTGGGTTCTGACAGTCTAATCCAGAGAATACTGTTGGGGTTCTGACAATGGCGGGAAAAGGTGTTCGTGTACTGGTCACTCCCACCACTGACCTTGGCAAGATACTGGCATGCATGCATGGTTAGTTGCATTTACCCTATTTTTTTTGTAGATGTAGCATTGCAGACGTGCCACCAGAGACCAATCTGCTGTATCTAAGTGTTGGCCCTTTTTTATTCTCTTCAATTGTCTGAGTCCATCACAAATTGAAGCTTCTTTTGAATGATGGTTTAGGATTCAATTTCTTGTAGTTGTATTATTATAGGAAGTCACATCAGTTTCTCCTGGAGTACTGGTTACTGCTGAACTAAAAAACATTATAAATTGTTGGATAGGAAATTGGTAGTTTGTATTGCTTTATTTGATTTATCAGTTTTAGTCCATCTATTCATATTCTAAGTTGTTGAAACTACTTCCCAAACGTTAATCTAGGTTTGGAGATTGGCGGTGAGATTAACTTGGCAGCTAGCATCCAGGTGGCTCAGTTGGCTCTTAAGCATCGTCAGAACAAAAAGCAGCAACAAAGGATTATAGTGTTTGTTGGAAGGTATGTTTTTAAAATTTTTTTACCTCCCTACCACCAAGACTGTTGTCAACTTACCCACAACGGTCATGTTTGATGCTTAGTGCGCTGTACCTTTGGCAATAAATGCTTCTCAAACTCAAATTGTTAATCTTAATTAGCCAATGTGAATATGAAAAAATCTAATAATTTTTTTCTTTTGTCTTTATGCCTTCCATAAGGGTAATATTCAAAGGAAGACTTTAATTACGTGGAATATTTCCCTTCTTAGCTTTGGAGTAATTAAAAATCCTGCCAAGATGAACTTTGAGAATCCACTTTTAGCTTCTCAAAACAAAGATTTCAGTATATACTAATTTATCATTACACAATGTCTGATGCAGTCCTGTCAAACATGAAAAAAAGTTACTGGAGATGATAGGAAGGAAGTTGAAGAAGAACAATGTGGCCCTTGATATTGTTGATTTTGGGGAAGAAGATGATGGGAAACCTGAGAAACTGGAAAGTCTTCTGGCAGCTGTGAACAGTAATGACACCAGTCACATTGTTCATGCTCCTGCTGGTCCAAATGTGCTCTCTGACGTACTCATCAGGTTGGCCTTTGACTCCTTTCTATTTCAAGATCTTTTGTATTGCTTGTGTGATAACACGTTATATTCTCATCTTGAGTTTGCTTTGTTTGATTTCAGTACACCTATCTTCACTGGAGACGGGGAGGGTGGAAGTGGTTTTGCTGCAGCAGCTGCTGCTGCTGCTGCTGGTGGCGTATCTGGTTTTGATTTTGGAGTTGATCCCAACTTAGATCCTGAACTTGCCCTTGCTCTTAGAGTTTCAATGGAAGAGGAGAGGGCCAGACAAGAGGCAGCTGCTAAGAAGTCTGCAGAGGAGAATGCAAAGCAAGAAAAAGGAGCTGAGCAGCCATCCGGCTCACAGGATGCAACTATGACTGAGCGTCCTGGACATGCAACTTCTGATGCTGAAAACAAGACTGCTGATTTAATGGTCAGTGTAGCTTGGCTTTTAGAAAATTGTTTTTACAGCAGTTTTTGTTTGCTAGACTGCGCTTTTAAACTTTAGCTTTTCAGAGTAATTTGATTTTAACCTTTAGCCTCTAAACGATTTGATCCCCTTTTTTCTCCAATTTGAATATCTATGCTGCCCTTTGCGACAAGTTATTGGCAGAAAGGGAAAAACAGTTCTTATTATTTGACTTGATTTTGATTAATAGGATGATGAGAATGCGCTGCTAGAACAAGCCCTTGCTATGTCAATGGATACTCCTTCTGCAACCAGTGACACACGAGACATTGACATGTCAGAAGCAGCAGCAGACGATCCTGATTTGGCACTTGGTAAGTCTTTTGCTGTTTCATGTTTTCCCATCATTTAGTTTTTCACGACGTTCTCTTCATCAAGCATCCTTTTATCATTAGAGTTTGTAGAGAAAACTCCATAAAGCATTACTTGATCACCCTATTGGCTTCATGAAATTTATAATGTTCTGGGTCTGAGTTGGTAATAAATAACAAATAAGAGGAATTATCCATTGATAGTTGACTGTTAAGAAGCATAGCCACTTTAATTTGGCTAACTTGTTTGTGCCGGACACTTGTTAGCACAAAAGACATGTGTTTGACACTAGTTGTATAAAGTGAATATGGGTTCAACATTTTTTAAACATACTAACGATAGTAATTTAGGAGAAAAATAATAAAATTTGTAAGCAAAATATATCGAACTTATTGATCTTTTGAGCCTATAAATTTATAAATAAACTTATTGATTTTGAGTTTCTTTTTGGTATAAAATTGATATGCATTATATTTTAACACATACTTGTCATACTTGTGTCTGTGACCTAGATTTTTCAATAATGAAAAATTCATATTAGTAAATGAAAAAATGTATATACTAACAAACATGTCATTGTTGTGTTGTGTCCGTATCATGCTTCTTAGCATGTTCCTACAAAACCATCCATCTGATAGTTGGCTTGCAGCTCTTCAGTTGTCTGTGCAGGAAGCTTCCAGTGATTCGACAAGCGAGACAGATATGAGCAAACTATTGGCCGATCAGTCCTTTGTGTCTTCTATTTTAGCTTCAGTACGTTTACTTCATCTTTTTCTCCCTCATTTTCCTTCTCTATATTGAGAAATTTAAGCATACTCTCACTGGGGCTGGCTCTACTTCCAGTTAAATAACAGCAAGAATTCTTTTGCAGCTTCCAGGCGTAGATCCAAATGATCCTTCTGTAAAAGATTTGCTTGCTTCCATGCAAAGCCAATCAGAGGTAAGTCGTGTAAACTGTAAATCTAACTGATGACATTGCAACGATAATAAGTAGTTGAGCTTAACTGATTAAGAAATATATCCTTGACCAATGAGTACAAGGATCAAATCCCCGCCTCCCTCGTATTGTTGAACTAAAAAAGAAAATTTGCAAAGATAAATATAACTGTTTTTACCCGAGGGTATCGGTAAGTATCTTTCTACATCTTTAGTTCGTTGACAATCAGAATTTATTATTTAGTACTAGGCTTTCTTTTTTCCTTCACCGTTTCATCTATCAACCAATCATATTAGCCAAAAACGAAGACAACGAACTCGAACGTGTATTATTTTTACACATGCTACATTTTTGCTGCAGGATAAGAAAAACAACGACAAGGCATCGAAAGAAGATGAGAAGTGATGCATTTTGACCGCAGTGTTTTAAACCCAGAATCCACAGACGTCAAGGAAGATGCCTATTATCAGATCCTCACCATTGTCACCCGTTTCAAAATCATTATATTTTTCTGGTAAAATATGTTGTATCTGCTGTGTGCCTCCATCCGTTGTGGATCTTGATATCTTTATCTTCTTCATTGTCAAAGGCCGTAGAATTCCTTCACATGTGAGAGGAGAGGAGCAGTAGCTTTGAAACATTTTCTTTTCACGAACACATTTTGTTTATTGAATGAAAATGATATGCTTGTCCAGTCTTTGAAGTACCTCTCGATTGTAAAAGCTAAACCCTCATAACTTTTTAATACAAAAACTCTTCTTTTCCTTCATGTTGCTCTATATCTCGATATCACATAATCATATAACAGGAGATTTCAAGGTTCAAGCAGGTTCCAGTTCCTCTACACCTAAATATGGAGAAAATGTCCTTTTGTGTTCAAATTTGGTAGAACTTGAATGAACTTTTCAACCCAAATATTGGATTTGTTGCATAACTTGCTGGAGATTTCCATAGATTTGTGCAGTGATTTCAATGCAGTCCCCAATGGGTAGAGAAAGGAGGAATGTGAGAGAGATAAGAGAAATGTTATTTTTATTCTTATTTAAGAAAAATTGAAGATCTTGAGGTCTATGTTTGTGATTTTTTTCAATTATAATACAAGAATAAGTATTAATTTAAAGGGCTTTTCGATATTTTTTTTACTTATTATTTTTCGTATATTAAATTCGTATCTTAAGTTTAATACTTAACAAACTTAACATTTATGTCTCCAAATGTT